GGCAGCCATGACTCCCTCAAGGTCACAGTGCATGGCTCTGTGCTTGTGACCAGATGGGGCCATGTGACCTTATTCACTGCAGCCATTCCCTAACATAGAGGAGTAGTAGAACCTGGTTGCAGGTGAGGGGCTGCATTGGTGGGACCAATTCACACCCACATGCATTGGGAGAGCTGGATCTGTGATGTCTGCTTAAAAAGCTAATGGGCAGAGCTAATGAGTTTCTCATCCTGAACCCACAGGATTTCAGGTGGTTCCATAAACCAGTCACAGAGGCCAAATGCCTGTCACTTAGTCACATTCATACAAATCATTAACATTCTTCTGAGGATGGCACTGGCCTGCAGAAAATTTGATGTGTAATTCGAAATGAATAGAATCACTTGCTAAGTCTGCAGGGGAGCAGAGGTCTTTGTTCTCTGTAGCCCATGCTCCTAGCACTGAGCTATGATTGACAGGTGTCTCTCAATGGCCCTGAGGGGAAGAGACCCTATTTGCTCATGGTGATGTCCCTAGTACACAGGGCAGCAGCTGCACTGAAATGCGTCCTCAATAAGTGTGTGCTGAGTGCACAGGAAAGAGTGGCTATGGCCTCAGAAATGCCATGGAGATAAACTGACCCAGAGCAATGGCCACTGGTGATCAGCAGACTGTGGTGGACATGAGAAGCAAATTGGACAGGCTCAGTGCATTCAGGATTTCAGGCGCTGGGCATGTCCAGTGTGGGAACATAAGACAAGGTGTCCTATCAGTCTGTGCCCCTCAGAGTCCAGCAACATGGCCCACATGTTCAGTGGTCCCTTCCCATCACATAGCAAAACCCAGGATGAACTTGATTGGCATTTCAGAGACTCATCTCTCTTCACCTCGGTGTTTTCTCTTTAGAGACTCTCTCTGAAGAACTTGGTAAGTTCTATGTCTCTGTTCTATGGTCACTTTGGAGCCATTTTGTCCTCTAAACACTGATCTCTCCCTGTGATTGATTACAGAGGAACGAAGTTCAATAGAACAGATAGGTAAGTGAAGCCCATCCCCCTTGTCCCACATGCCCATTACTGCAAAACGTCACTGTCCCCATCACCCAGCTAACCCTGGATGTGTCCATCTCATTGCAGATCTGAAGGAAGCTCGGAGATATGCAGGTAGGTGCACAGAGAAGGAGGTGTGGCTAAGAATGGCCTCATGCCTGTCCTCTAAGCTGTCCGGGATTCTATTGTGTAAGAAAATTTCTTCCCAAATAATCCAGAGGATGCAAGTAGGCAAAGACAATGCTTAGACACTGCATGTAGGGACCTAAGTTGGTTAGGACCCAAGTCCAGCTATGGGAGAGGTGGTCTAGCTATACTGCCATAATGCATGCATAAGCTCTGGGCAGCACAGACACTTCAGGGCCTCCTGACCTGACAGGCAAGCTCTGCTCCATAAGGAGTAAGTCCCCACCATCCCCTTGTCACCACCACCACAGGACTCTCTAGGATGATGATGAAGAGATGATGAAGGATTAGGTCTCTTCTCTCTCCTCTCCATTCAAATCAAGCCCTCCATGTCCCTCAGGTCATTCAACAGGAACACACCCTCTTTTTCCTCCTTAGTTTTCTTAACAATAAAGTAAACAGCAATCTCAGTTAACCCAGTCTCTCCTTTGGGCTGTTTTCCTACTCCCCTCTCCCTCTCCAGAACAGCCTCATTTCATACTTGTGAATCTTCCTTCCTTATTTGTACCCTCTGCTCTCTCCCACCCCAGCTCCACAAACACCCTCAGCCTGACAATGGCCCTCTTGGTCCTCGGTGGTCCCCACCACCCTCCTGCTGCCTCCTAGCTCCACCTCCTCCCTCTCCCTCCTCCTGTGGCACTGGCCACTCTCCTGCCCTCTGAACCCACTGCTGAGCTTCTGCCTCTGAGCTGAGCAGGGGGATCATCTCCTTGACCTTCCCCGACCCTTCTGTTATGTCCCCTCTGTCCATGGAGGGCCTGGTGTTCCTAGTGCTAACACCTGGAGACCTTCTGAGTGTCAGAACCTTGGTAAAGACCTTTCCCAAGGGGTTTCCATGCTCCACCCATCTCCTACCAGCTGAGGCCTTGCAAGCTCTGAGGTGACAACAGAAATCTGTTCCCCAGATGGAGCCCTCTGGAGTACTTTCCTGCAGGAAATGAACTTCAGATCAGTAGTGGGGATGGTGTCCTGGATATGGACAGAGTGGTGTTTATTTTCTCTCCGTGTTGATGAAAAGGGCTCTTAAGGACACGGGCTTTGTTTCTCTTTTTTGCTTTGACCCTGGCTGAGAAAGTGAAGAGTCTCTTCTTTTTTTGTTATAATTTTTTTATTTGCTCTTTTTAGTTACACATGACTGTAGACTATATTTTGACATGTTATACATACCTGGAGTGTAACTTCCCCTTCTTGTGGCTGTGTATGATATGAAGTTACACTGGTCATGTGTTCACATATGAACACAAGAAAGATATGTCTGATTCATTCTTCTGCCTTTTCTATTGCTATCCATGCTCCCTCCCCTTCATTCCCCTTCATCTAATCCAATGAACTTCTCTTTTCCCTTATGTTGTGTTAGCATCTGAATATCAGGGACAACTTTTGGCCTTTGGTTTTTTTGGGTTTAGACTATTTCACTTATTATATCATAGTCTTCAGTTCCATCCATTTACCAGAAAATGCCATAATTACATTTTTCTTTATGGTTGAATAATATTCCTTTGTGCATAAGAACCATGTTTTCTTTATCCATTCATCTTTTGAAGGGCACCTAGATTGATCCCATAGCTTAGATATTGTGAGTTGAGCTGCTATAAACATTCATGTTGCTGCATCACTGTAATATGCTGATTTTATGTCCTTTGGGTATAAATGAGGATTGGGATAACTGGGTTCTGCTCTAAATTTTCTGAGGAATCTCCATACTGCTTTCCAGAGTGGTTGCACCAATTTTCAGTCCCCCAACATTGGATGAGTGTAACTTGTCTCCCCACATCCTCACCAGTGTTTTCTCTCACATGTATTCTTGATAATTGCCATTCTGAGTGGAGCGAGAAGAAATTTCAGTTTAATTTTAATTTTCACCACTCTAATTGTTAGAAATATTGAGCGTTTTTTCAAATTTGTTGACTGATCATATTTCTTTTTCTGTGAAGTGTCTGTTCATTTCTTTGCCCATTAATTGAAAGGGTTATTTATTATTTTCATGTTATATTTTTTGGGTTCTTTATATATAATGGAGATTAGTGTTCTATCTGAAGTGCAGGTGGCAAAGATTTCTCCCATTCTATAGGCTTTCTCTTCACATACCTGATTGTTTCCTTTGCTGAGAAGAAGCTTTATAGTTTCATATCATCCTATTTATTGATTCTTGATTTTACGTCTTACACTTTAGGAGTCTTATTGAGGAAGTCTGTTCTTAGGCCACCATGATGGGCCTACTTTTTCTTCTAGTAGGTGCAGGGTCTCTGGTCAAATGCCTATATCCTTGGTCCACGTTGAGTTGAGTTTCATGCAGGGTGATGAGTACGGTCGTAATTTCATTTTCCTGCATATGGAATTTCAATTTTCCCAGCATCATTTGTTGGAGAGGCTATATTTTCTCCAATATATGTTGATGGCACCTTTTTCTAGAGTGAGATAACTGTGTTTCTTTGGGTTTGTCTCTGTGTCTTCTGTTCTGTATTATTGGTCTTCTTGTCTGTTTGGGTGCCAGTATCCACCCTTTTGATAATTTAACTCTGTAGTGTAATTTAAGGTCTGGTACTTTGATGCCTTTTGATTCTCTTTCTTTACTCAGGATTGCTTTGGCTATTCTGGGCCTCTTATTTTTCCAAATTATTTTTATGAATTCTTTCTATTTCTATGAATAATGTCATTGGACTTTTAATAGGAACTGCATTCAATCTGTATAGTGCTTTTGGTAGTATGGCCATTTTCACAATATGAATTCTACCTATCCTGCAGAATGGGAGGTCTTTACATCTTCTGAAGCCTTC